TAGTACTCCCCCTTCTTTTTTAAGAGAGGTATCTGGTGGCACTTGCTGGACAATGGCTCCCATAGCAAAAAGATCACCCATCCAACAACACAAACATAGGGGTACATCAGGGATCCTTCGAGAGATCAAACCCTGCAAAACAAGATCACAAATAGTATTAATAACAGAGTAGTCAGTAGAATCTAAATGAACAGGAGTTGCGGGATCTGTGCCCTGTAAAAGATGACGTAGTTTATACAACAGTTCAGTAGGAATGCCCACGATGGGTCGTAGCCATTGCAGATCCCCCATAAATTTTTGCATGTCGTTTAAAGTTTTAAGTTCTGATTGCAATGTCAATTTTTGTGGTCGAATGATTTTCTCAGTTAACATCCATCCCAAGTATTTCCATGGACTAGTGTGTTGTGTTTTTTCAATGGAGACCACAAGGTGGCGCTGTTGCAACACTTTTAGAATTGTTTCAACATCTTGCGGTAAGAAAGGGTCTTTGGTGGCAAATAACAAATCGTCCATGTAGTGGTAAATAACCCAGGTAGGAAACATTTCACGAATAGGCTGCAAAGCAGCTGCAACATAAAGCTGACATAACGTAGGGCTATTTTTCATTCCTTGTGGGAGAACGACCCATTCATATCTAGAGTCCGGAGATTCCCTATTCAGGGCAGGCAAGGTAAAAGCAAAACGTTGAGTATCCTGAGGGTGTAATGGAATAGTGAAAAAACAGTCCTTTAGATCAATAACTAAAATGTGCCAATCTTGTGGGATTAAGGCTGGATTTGGTATGCCAGGTTGTAATGCACCCATGGCTTGCATTTGATTGTTAACTGCCCGTAGATCATGGAGAAGTCGGAATTTTCCTGTCTTTTTAGGTATAACAAAAATTGGGGGTATTCCAAGGACTGTGTGAGAGTTGTAAGTGTCCTTGCTGAAGTTGTTCCTGAACAAGCTTATGAGCTTGTTCAAGGCTTTCCCTTTTCAGAGGCCACTGCTTAACCCAAACTGGTTCATCTGTTAACCAAGTTATCGGGATCGGAAAAGCCCAAGAAGCGGCCCTTAAGACAAAGGGGGATCATTTGTAAGAACCCATTTCAATTGTGAAAGAATGTCTCTGCCAATTAAACACTGAACAGTAGGTGGGAGTGGTACAACAGAAAACACAGCAACAGTGGATTGATCTTTTAGAGTCACTCTTATTCGTGGTGTTTGCTTCCCCACCGAAACACCACCTACACCCGTAACAGTAGCATTTGTCGGAAAAAGCGGCCAATGCTTTGGCCAGGAATCAGGGGAGATAATGCTCGAGTCAGCTCCAGTATCTAATAATGCATCAAGGCGATATTGCTCATTTTCCCACTGCAAAACAATTGGTTGTTTAGGTCGATTAGAAAGGTCTAAAGTTAGTAATATATTATGGCCAGTAAAGCCAAAACCTCTTTCTCCACGGTCCTTTTGTGTGAGAGGGCACAATTTGGAAGTAAATTGAGGTAAAGGAATTAATTGTGCTATACGTTGTCCTTGGTCTATCTTGATAGGAGGGAAAGGTGTATAAGCCATGATTTTAATTTCCCCTGCATAGTCAGCATCAATTACTCCCGGTAACACAAATAAGCCAGCTAATGAGAGAGAAGAACGACCTACTAATAAAGCTCCCATAGTCTTATTATTAATTATCAGTGGTCCTTGAACACCCGTGGAGATCGTCTGTGGCTCTGTAGTAAAAAGTATCGTATCTACTGCTGCTGCCAAGTCAAGTCCAAGGCTGCCGCTTGTTGCAGGCTGGAGGGTGGAGGCTGAGCGCAGAACGCCGCTGCCGGGGAAGGAGCTATTTGTTTCGTAGCGCAGCTCTTGTTGTTCGCGCTTTGTTTCCCGTTTCCCGTACGGCAGGCATTGGTATTATGAGAAGGAGACTTGCAGTATTGGTACCACACTCCTGTAGCGGAGCAATGTTTTCTCATATGTCCCGATCCTCCACAGCGGTAACATTTTAATCGAGAGTTAAATGTTCTCTCTGGCTTTGTTGCTATTGCCTGAAGAGGTGCAAGGGCAGCTAAAATTTGCGTCTGACTGCTTTCTGCTTGTTTTTTCAACCCCTCTCCTAAGTTATTTAGAGCGTTAACTAGGAAGGCTTGAGTGCCTGTGGGGGTTTGAGCTAATCTCTCTAATGCCTCTTCAATAGTCCAATTAGAGCCTAGGGTGCTAATGACTGTTTTAGTGGCCGGATTAGCATTTTGCAATGCGCATTGTTTTAGAATGGCTCCTTTAAGGTAATCAGGAACGCCGGCTTTTATAATTGCCTCGGCTACTTTATCAATGAAGGTTCCAAAGTGCTCGTCTTTCCCTTGTTTTATGCTCATGTATAGAGGAGTTCCCCCGGGATCTTTAATGTGATTAATCGCATCACGAGCACAGCGCATTGCTTCTCTAACTTTATCAGCTCCAAGGAGCATTTGTGCTTCAACTCTTATCCAAGCTCCTATGCCTAATAATTCTTCTATCGTCACTCCATGTAAAGGATCGCCTGGTCCTCTCTGTGTAGCTACAGACTGCTCAACTATAGCTTGCCAATGTGCATTAAACAAAAGCAATTGATGAGGAGAAAACAGCAATTTGGCGATAGTGCAACAATCAGCAGGCAGAAGGAGCTGAGTGCTCCATAAGTAATCAAGGATTTGGCGTGTGGGCTCCCCGGTTGCACCATATTGACTAACAGTGCTACGAAGCTGAGCAAGCAATTTCCAATCCAAGGGTGTCATTGTGATGGCAGTTTGAGGATTGCCCCGTGCATCAGGGGGTCCCGGGTTATAGGTTACAGGGAAAGCCAGATTTACAGCAGCCAAACCATCCATATCCCCATCCTGCATGCAGTGCCGAGCAAATGCAGCCCACGCTTCCCTACGTTCTCGCACCATAGCCTCCGCAAGGCCACTATCGGCCCCAGGGACAGGCGTATAGCTGGACGTAGGTACAGCGTTTGGAGAAGGGGGGGGGAGCGGCGGCGGTGCCGATGGTGGTAGCGGCGGCGCGCAGCCGCTGCCGCGGGTTTGGCTCAGCCGCGCTGGTGGAGACGGCGGCTGCGCCACTGGTACAGCGGCATTGCTCTCCATAGAAACTTTTACTCCCGAGGACTCACCGCGATGCATGGGGTTATTCGGTACGTGTATTACAGAAACCGAAGGGGGTAAAGGAGTCGTAGATTCAGAGAACCATGTTTCCCCAAAAGACTTATTTTCCTCTTTAATTTTTACAGACTTTTCAACAGCCCGCTTTTCTGCTTCATGCTGCAGTAAAGTATTATAGACACTACGCCACAGCTTTGCAAATTTTTTAGCTGTTTTATCCTCATCAATAACCCTCATCCACAAATCATCCCCAAATTTTCTCCACTCTGCTAAAGAGTGAACAGCATGAGGGTTAAGAAAAAATCCTAACGAGTGAGCATAGTCTAACAGACAGGGTAGTTCCTTTTTATAATCAATATCTACTAACCCCTTCTTTTTTAGAAAATCTTCAAATAATTGATATGCTGCTTCCTTTTCCATACCTTGTCGAGGCGCGCCTTTGCAGCTTTTCAAGGACTCGGCAGCACGTAACAGCCAGGCTTGTCTATACACGCCAGGGATCCGGGACATGCGATCGGCACTGTCCTTGCGATCACCTCCGCTGCGAGAGGTCTGTCCACCTCAGCGTCTTGTTCTGTACAAGTTCGGGACTGGATCGGTCCTTGTTTGGTCCGTGGTCGGGCGCCAAAATGTCACAAAACGCTGGGAGACACGAGCAGAAAATTGCTTTAAGTCTCGTTTATTAAAGATTTTACAAAGGTTTATATGGTATTTTTGCGAACAGCATGCAATGCTCGCATTGGTCAGAATGAGGGTGGTAGGTTGTTTTCTCTACAAGGATTTGCTATAGATACAGAAACCTATTTTTCTACACATCTTTAGAAAACAAAAATCAGAAGGCTACACTTTCCCAGAGAACAGAACACTTTCCCAGAGAACAGAACTCAAAACAAGATTTGTTATGTTTCATTCTAATTAAAAGTATCAGTGTCCAAATCATAACATCTTCCTGCTGGAGACAGTTCTTCCTTTAATTTACCAGGACAGCTGGGCTTTGTTTTCTTGCATTCCTTCGTTATCAACCTGTAGCAGCTGCAAGGCATCCGAGCAGTCATGTCCACGGTCAAGCAGCCACTGCTTTGCAAAGCTCTCCACACTTATATATAAATAGATATGCTGCCTTGTATGTTTATTTTGGAGATTAGAGCAGAAGCATTAAAAAAACCCTATACAATACAGGCTACAATGCCTAGTGCAGAAGTGATTGTACAATTAATGTGAGCTCTGCAGCACATACAGCTTAGTGCACAGTATGGGTTACCCTGCTTTGTATTTGCTGAGGAAATTTTTTTCCCCCTACTGATGTGAGAATGACAGCATTTTAATCCTGATGGCTGCAGCCTGTAAGATAGCCCTATGTGAAATATGAAATCTGGTGTCCACAGGCATACTATCCTCAAGGATTGGACAGCATTGCAGCAAACACAAAGGAGCTTGTATTGTGTATATCATTGCTTGGATACTCCTAAGGTCACTTCCCCAGCATCTGACTCGTCGATTTTTCTCTCTAAGATCAGGACTGTTGAGCCTGAAATGCTGTCCCACTTGCTGTTAATATGGGCTGTAAACAGATACTGTGTTAAAACTTTGTATCTCTGCAGGCTTTCTATCTTGAAAAGATTATGTGACTTTGCTGAGCAACACTAAACATTAGATAATTATGTAATGTCCTCCAGATATTTGAGATAAACACTTTAAAGCCATAAAATGTACTGGATCTGCAGCAAAGCTGACAGTATATTTGCTTTTAACACAAGAGCCATCTTGCCAGGAGGAAGAAAGTACTACTTCCTGCAAAACCCAAATTGACTCAGAGGTTGGCTGTTTTTGGTGGGGAGTGGTTTGTTGTTTAAACTTTTTTTTATTTAATTTTTTTTACAGCACCTGGAACTGACTCTAACTTATGTTAATTGGAGCATCTGATTCTTCCTTTTTCTGTGATCACACATTGATACTTTGAATGTTCTGTTGGAAAGAGGCCAACTGAAAACAGAGCAGTAAACAATCTACTCAAATGAGGCTAATCTCTGCACAACAAGAGTAAAGGAGCATATTTTGAAACTTGTCTCCTTTTGCAGGCAGCAGGCAGTGCTACTGGCATATTTTAAGGGCAAGATGTGTGTTACTCCTTGTGTAATATCCAGTACAATGAAGCTATGATTTGCTAGGTGCTCTCAAACATGCAAAATTAACCTAGCCCACAAATGCAATAAGGGTTTTGTGGCTACTACTGAGATGCAAAAATGATGGTTACTGTACAGCTTGCAGCATGCAAATATAAGTAAATTTGAGCTCTCTTGAAAGCCCAGCATACTCTGAAGGGTGGTGATGGGTGATTTTTTTTTTTTTTTTCTGTAACTATACTGTATAGGAACTGGCTTCTGGTAAGTGCTTGCTTCTTCCACTCTCATAAAGTTAAACGTGGGATGTTAATGACATGCTCTGTAGACATACATGTGCTGCTGAAGCTGTAATTTTAAAATCTACATTGTAAGTCAGGTCAAAAGTCTGGTCAAAAATTGTTGGCTTGGCTATCTTTATCACTAAAAAAGCAAGTAGGTTACTGTCCTGTTTTTGGCCCTGATCAGTGGGAGGGGGTGTAACCAAGACCCTAATGTTTTTTGATACCACCTCACATCATTGCCAGGGGTGGGGGAAAAGGACTACCTTCCTTGCTTCTGAGAAGGGAAGGGCATCCCTTCTGGTGGAAGAAAGCGTGGCAGGCGAAATGGTCTGGTATTGTTTTATTTTACCTGTAAATTGTTTCCTTGTCTTATACCTTTTGTTATTAATATTGTTGCTGTTACTGTTCATTTTCTTATTGTTTTTCCAGTAAATTGTTCTTATCTCAACCCCCGATCTTTAGCTTTTGTGCTTTCAAGGGGGGGGGGGAGTAGAGGGGGAGCAGGCAGCAGCAGGTTGGTTTCATTGGGACTACTAAATTGGAGAATACTATTACTTAATTGGTGCCCAATGTGAGGCAAGAAGGGTTGAGATAACAACAGATCTGCTGTTACAGGGGCCAGGACCAGTTTATCACTATGTGGGTATAAACAAAACTGTGTATTCTACACCCTCTATGTCATTTCTGATGGACTGTTAATAATGGATCATTTACAGCAGCTGCCTGAGGCACACCTAATGACTCAGCTGTGATAACTCCCCTCTGGGAAGGCATTAGCACCTTCACATCCAGCCTGAGGAGGCATCTCTGCTAATGGGCCATACTGGACTGGCACAACAGGCAGCTGCAAAGACCTAGACCATCAAAGATTCCAAAAATATCCCATGACTCAAATCACCCATTGTGAAGCTCCCTGCCCTGGGAGAGGTACTGGGCATTCCCACCTGAACCTGAGAATATATAATCTTGGGGTTTGGGACTTCTGGTACCACTTGTCGGATCCAGAGGAGGACTAGAACTTCAACAGGACTGCCATTGCCACTCTCGAAAAGACTGCAATCATTACTTTAACAGAACTGTGACCATCATCCGGACCAACAGGTTTTCCTTTCCTTTTACTTTGCCCCCAGGGGCCCACGTGGTGCTCAACACTGGGGCCAATGAACTGTTCTGTTGTGTTGCCTAAATGGCTCTGGGGAAAAAAAAGACTCCAAGCCAAATTAGGTAGGAGATAAGATAAGGATACAAAGGCTTTAATGAGCCCCCAGGCTTTCTGGAATACCCCCAAAGTGTGCTCTTGAATACAGGTGTTCACAGTTTTTATAATGATTTTCACCCAAACCCCATCCAGCCACCACCCAGGTTCTGCCCCTGCCACGCCTCTTGGAAATTGGGTCTGGGGGCGCTTTGGGACCCCCTCTTCTTCATCTTCATCTTCCTCAGAGTATGTAATGTCCTTGGAGGCCTTCCAGAGTCCTAGGCCTGAAGGTTGTTGCGTCTATGGCTATATCTTCTTGCACAGGGGTAGGATGTTCTTTACAATTCTACCTTGAAAAAGAGACTAAACAGGCTAGTGGAATTTAGGGGAATGATATGGGAATGGGTAACAGGGGGTTGCTATGTGTAGCTGGTGTGTTAAAGGGTAAAGGGATAATATGCTGCTACTCTAAAATCTACACAAATTAAAAAATCAAAACTCCGAGGTATCAGTTGTTATCCCAGGGAGCTGGGTTATACATCTGTTTTTGTGGGTTAAACCCAGTTTTTCTCTGTATTGTTGCATCTATTGTAATTTATTATTAGTAAATTGTAGCTCTGACTTATAATCTCCCTCAAATTGGTTTCATTTCTCCCGTTGGTTTACTTTTAAACCAGCACATCTGCCCAGAGCAGGTTGGAAACAAATTTGTTGTATTAGGTATGGAGCCACTGGTCACAAGGTTGCTTGGTCTGTTCATGTGGGTGTGGTACCTAACACTGTATATATTCCCATATGTGCTCCTCATGGGAATCTTGTTCAGAGCAGGGATAGGGATCAGGATTGTTTTGTTGTTCAGTTTATGACATGATAAGATCAAGGGCCATGAGGGTCATTTGGGATGTGTATTCAGTGTTGCTCTCCTGCCCTTAACTCAGGCACTACCTTTGGGAGTCCATTAATAATCATACCCAGCCTGTGAGGGGAAGGGGAGAATGATTTTCTCTAGCCTTTCACCCCCTTTTCCTCCTTCAGGCCAGTTACAACAGCTTTTGAGAATTCTGAATTCCTCTTGGATGTTAAGGAAAGCATGTTCTTGTTGCTAAATCCACCAGGTCTCCTAAACGTGATCCACATTATGTTTAGAGTCAAGAAAGATTTCATGGGAGGTTATTCAGAGATCTGCTCTCAGGGTGCATAGTCTTGAGTGGCATAGAATATGGGAGGATGTGGGCCAGTTTTTGGGGAAATTCTCTGCTCCAGTGGTTTGGAAGTTCACCCCTGAACAACTATAGGACCCTGTTAAAGTGATAAAATATGTGAAGGAAAACTGCTGTAGCAGTTCCAGAGAGGTGAAAAGTTATGCAACATGCTGGGCTCTGGCTACTATTTATCGGATGCTGCTCATCACTAGACAGCACCCTCAGGGGCAGGAGGAGGAAAGCAGGCTAGCAGGCACCGTGGCCACTCAAACTGCAGCTGAACCAGAGGATCAGCCCATGACAGTAGCAGTCATACCTATACAGATGAAGAAATGCAACACCAAATCAGTTTGCTTAGTGAGGGATGAAGAAGAAGCAGGGCCCTCACATCAGGAGGAAGAGGCAAGGCCAGAGATAATCACCCGCTCCTTATCCCTGGGTAAGCTGTGAGGTAAGATTTCAGCTGCTAGTCAGTTGAGCCCCTGGTGACCTTTGCTGCTCTGATGCCAGGATATCACAGGCCACGATATGAAACTAGATGGGAGTGAAGCCAAGCAGCTGGCATCCCTGTCCCGGGATGTGGGCATTGACAAGGGGATTGGGAAGAGGACAGAAACTCAGCCTCTGGAGACTCCTCCTGTCAAGTGTGAGGGAAAGGTATCTTTTCAAGGACAGTCTTTTAGTGCACTGAGACAAGTGGAAAACCATGGAGCAGAGTATCTAGTACCTGAGAAAATTAGCTGTGCTGGAGGTAATCTATAGGGTTCCAAATAATGAGCAATCCCCTATAAATCCAGATGAAGTCCAGTGTACACAAACCATGTGGTGGAAGTTCCTATGGAGTGCACCATCACTATATGCTAACTCATTGACAGTGATTTCATGGAAAGAAGAACAAAAGGGTGATAACTGGGTTACCAAACTCCAGCTATATGAAGAAAGTATCTCCTCCCCAATATGGGCCTGTGTCTCATCCATGGAAAGACTGTCCAAGTGCCTCTACCAGTTTAAAGAGGAAATGTCCCATGCCCTTCCAGTACAGACCACGGTCTCTGCTATTTGGAGCAAGTGCCCCCCTGCTTGAGAGAGAGGGGACATACCACAAGACAACCTGTGGTTTTACCTGAGTGACCATGGAGGGGACGTGAGGAAATGGGATGGAAAACTTACGTCTGCCCTAGCAGCACAGGTACATGAGCTGAGAGGAAGAACAACCACCACAGGAAATTCTTCAAGGATAAATGCTGCTCCAAGCTTCCAGTGAGCAAGTCCTCAGACAGAATAGGAGGGCTGATTTTACTTCTGATCCTCTTGAAGGGACCACCAGTTCATATTTACAAGAACTGACCAAAGAGTTTACAAGAAGGCTGCTTCCTCTTTACAATACCTTCTTGGAATTGAAAACTCTCTTCATTTGAGAAGTCCAAGTCACAGTTTTATCTCCATTAGAAACTAGTTTCAGTCTGTGCTCACCATCCAGTACCCCTTGAGCTTCCTTAATGCTTTAATATATTCACCATTTCTGTTACTTTAAAATGCCTTCTTGATGTTGATAGGCTCTTCATGCTACAGCACAATGAAGCTGACTGCATGAAAAATCAGCTTGAAAGAATCTCTAAGTCTGGTTTTGATACTAATGGTTACTTCCAAACAGTTGATATTTGAATCAAACTCATTTTCTAATTTGTTGTCCTTCCCAATACTGATTTATGCACTAAATCACAATTGTTTATATCTGCTCCAGTCCGCTGTTTTTGTTTCTGATACTGCCTGCTATATTTTAATAAAAAACTTACACAGTGCCAGTTCAGCTGCCTTATTTTTGGGGGGAGGAACAGAGGAACAAAATAAAGGCTTTAAATATGGTTTAGTTACCCCTTGTAAATTATTTTATGCATTTGTGTGTACAATGACTTTTCAGTATCTTATCTACATGTGCTGTTCCTATGGCAGCCTGTCCCCCATAGATGGATGCTGGAGGCTCAACTGGGGTATCTGCAGAGTGTTTTAATTGAGAATGGCATAGTGTAATGTAGTACTCCTGATGTTTCATGTTAGCAGGAAGATAATTGACTGAATTTCTCAGTTAACCTTGTAAATTTAATTTCCCTTGTCACGTGAAAGGGGAGACTTAAGATTTTTTGCATGTCAGTGCCCCCGGGAAAGTCAAGACCCTTGTGTCTGACAGTCTGTCAGCATCTTGTAATGAGGTCCTTCACCAACAGATTCCTAAGATTGAAGGGTGATTCGACTGCCATTGTCAGGGAGGACTCAACAGAGTGAAGACCCCTCAGTGGGCCCAGCTAAGGTGTTATCCACTGCCAGCAACTGAAAGGACTCACTTTAACAGTTCACAGAATAACACTTTTTATTAATACAAATTTTGACATTAATAAGGTTCAAAGGTTGTCGGTAATAGTTTCTAACTGCAAAAATGTGTTTTAAAGCAATCTATTGATATATTAAGCTAGCACAAGCTCTAATATGAAGCAATCTACTAATATACTATAGAGCAAGCACAAACACAAGCTCTAGTCCCAAAAGCAGCATTTAACGCCTGTAGAGTATA